CCTGTCAGTGACCTGACAGTGACCTGACAGTGTCCTGTCAGTAACCTGTCAGTGACCTGTCAGTGTCCTGACAGTGACTCGTCAGTGACCTGTCAGTGTCCTGTCAGTGTCCTGACAGTGACCTGACAGTGACCTGACAGTGTCCTGTCAGTAACCTGTCAGTGACCTGTCAGTGTCCTGACAGTGACTCGTCAGTGACTGGTCAGTGTCCTGACAGTGACCTGTCAGTGACCTGACAGTGACCTGTCAGTGTCCTGACAGTGACTCGTCAGTGACTGGTCAGTGTCCTGACAGTGACCTGTCAGTGTCCTGACAGTGACCTGACAGTGACCTGTCAGTGACCTGACAGTGACCTGACAGTGTCCTGTCAGTAACCTGTCAGTGACCTGACAGTGACTCTTCAGTGACTGGTCAGTGTCCTGTCAGTGACCTGTCAGTGTCCTGACAGTGACTCGTCAGTGACTGGTCAGTGTCCTGACAGTGATTTATTAATTAATTTCTGCATTTATGTAGCAGCTAAAAAATGTATTATTACCTGTAGCTAGAAGTTTTGCTAGAAGYTGCTTTTGTTATTTTTCCTTACAACCCTTTACTTTTTGCTTATAGCTACTTTTCAACTTTAGCCAAACTTTTGCTACTTTTCGCTCATATCTATGATTAGCTTTTAGCCAACTTCTTGCTACTTTAAGGTTTTAAGTAAAACATTGCTGTTTTAAGCTATAACTTTAATACTTTTAGCTATTAGATAGCTTTTTGGTACTTTTGGCTCATTTTAGCTTTGACCTAAATCTGAAGTCCCTTTAAGCTAGCTCTTTAATAAATTTAACATTTAGCCAGTTTTTTGTTACTTTTTGCATCTAGCTATCGTTTAGCCAACATTTTTGCTATTTTAAGGTTTTCAGTAACAGTTAGCTGTTTTAGTAATAATTTAGCTGCTTTTACCTTTAAGCTTGCCTTTTGGTACTTTTGGCTGTATAKCATTTAGCTCATTTATGCTTTTAACCACTTTTAGTTTTATTTAGCTAGTCTTTTGCAACTTTAAACTTGTGCTAACTTTAGGTCTTAGYTATCATTTTGCAACTTTTGCGTAGCTTTTTGCTACTTCAGGTTTCTATTGTTCTGCTTCCTTAAGTTTTTTTTTACCGTTTATTGTTATTTTTTTTTACTTTAAAGCTCTTCAGTACCATTGCATTGTTGCAAAAAAAATTGTCTATTTTTTTCAGTTCACATTTTAGCCACTTAATGAAACTAATTAGCTGCAGTTTTAAACTTTTGATGCAGGTTAGACTTCTCCAGCGTGGCTCTGCAGGATGTTAGAAACTAAAACAACGAGGCAACAGTCGGGAGAAATTATGCGAAACATTGTGTTCTGTTTCCTGAAGCAGACTGAACGAGACAAACAGGAAAAAGCTGCTGACTTCTGAAAACAGGAGCCAAAGAATGATGAAGAACCAGGCAGCACGACGGAACAGAAAGCAGGAAGAACCGATGGCTTCAGATTATCTGTGGCTGTAGAACAAGAACCAGGTGGAACCCCAAAACAGGAAGTGGAAAACAGGAAACAAAAACATGTTTCTTCTTCAGGTAGTTTCAGTTCAAGAGGAGTTCTGGGTCTGACCCAGGTCCTCTTCCCAGCTGAACTTAAATTCAATTCARTTCAGTTTATTTATATAGSGTTAAGTCACAACATGTGTTGTCTCAGGGCACTGAACATAAAAAGATCAATCTAAAGAAGAAACCAGCANGCATTTTTGCCTATCCTGACACCCCCACTTTGAAAGGAGCCCCCTCCTCAAATATGGGGTCTATGGTAAAACCGTTGTTTAGCGCAGTGTAGATCGGACTCATCTACAGTCCTGCCAAATTTCACGTTGATCGGTGTACTGTTTTTGTGCCACGGTTGACACAAATTCACTGAAAAAAAGTAAAAATAAAAGTATGTAGGGGTCACCTCAAGTCAAATTATCAAGGAACTATCTTGGACTCTCAGTCCTCTGATGGGCCTTCGAATGGACAAAAACTCTGTTCCACTTAGAAATGTATTCAGGCCACTTTCCTTCTAAATCAGATAAAAACAGAAGAATCATCTCATTTGATTTAGTGTTCTCTAAACTGAAAGTATTAC